GGCACACGGGATTTGACTCTCACCTGCCCACCAACCTCCTCCGGAATCTCCTGGACAGCAGCGCCACAGCCCTCCTCTCCAGCAGACCGGCCAGAGGCACGTGAAGTTGCAAGGCTCTCTCCTGATCCCATGCTGGCAGGAAAACAAACTGACCAAGAGGCGAGGGACACTCTGGATCTCTTTGACCCGTGGGAGCAGATTCAGCCAAGCCTCGAGGGCCCTCTTGACGAAGAAGAATACCAGGCTCTCCTGGATCAGCTCTGAAGCACACACAACAAGGCTTCATTTTCTCATCGGGGACGGCGCTCTTGGCCAGACACGAAAGCCTTTACACGCAACCCCACACAAAGGACACCATGGACCTCCCAATCTCCTGGGCCGGGAGCCCATGGACAGGGAACACCTGGCTACAAACAACCCAACAATTCAACCTGGACTTAGAAGCTGGGGAGGAGATGGCCTGCCCACGAGACCCAGAACTAGAAAATTTGCCTGGCAGGAGGCAATTGTCCCGGAGACTGCTGCGAAATTTTTCCAGGGGAAGTCAGGGACAGACCTCAACAAGGCAGCAGACTTAGGAAAACCCTGGACAGGCTCCTCAGACAAGATACTGCCTGAAGTGCATCCCAGCATGACTCTGAGGGCAACACCTCAGCTCTACACTCTGTGGGCCACGATGGAACACACCGGCCAAAGGAGCCTTTGTTCTCTGCTAACTTTGTCGGCCCTGGAGTTGTGAAGCAGGGAAGGAGGAAAATGCCACTAGAGGATGGCCACTGCCAGCAATAGATGGAGCACCTGAGGGATGGGGGAAGACTGGGGATGGAGAAAATAGCGCTCTGCTAGCTAGATTCAGTGCCCTGGACACACTTGATCCTATTCTGAATGTGAAGTCGAATAAATCTGAATGAACAAACACAAAGAGACATAACTTGAAAAATGGACTCAATCAATGTGTGTTCCATGTGAAATACTTTAATTTTCTTCCCTTCTCTATTACTAATTTTTCTTAAATCCTTTCCTTTTTTGTTTATTCTTTTATCTCTCTCTCTCTCTATTTTTTTTTTTTTTTTTAATTTTTGGTTTAGATTTTTGGTTTTGTTTTGTTTTTTTCTTTTGTTTTCCCTTTTTTTGTAGAGGTTGGATCTTCTTGATCATTCCTCTTTAAAAATATTTTTTTCACACACAAAACCCAAATACACTGCCTTTACTTTTGTCCAACTACACACACACACACACACACACACAGGATCAGTGACAATCATAAGCCTTCTGCCCCACCCCAAACACAAACACACACAGGTGAAAGCACTTGAGTACCAGCTGGAAAATCCTCTTGTTGATTTGACACTCTCAAGACCAATGAAATCTCTGCTTTCTCAGTGATTCTTTTGTTTGTCTGTGTGTTTGCTTGTTGTTAGCCTTTTGTGGCAGTTTTTTTTTTTTTTTTTTTTTTTTCTGTGTATCATATCTGCCCTGTCCTGGATGTCACTTTGTAGAAGAGGCCTGGCCAGGAACACTTGGAGCTCTGCGGCCTAGTCTTCTTCTGCAGACTGTGATTAAGTGTGCAGGAGACCACCACGAATCTCACGGCCATTCTTCTTGCATCTGGAAAATGAGCAATGGGTAACCACTCTCTCCCTGCCAGCCACCTGCTCGCCACCTTATATGGAGGTACCTCACTTGCACCACAAGAGGTGTTTTCTATCTCCCAACCCTGAAGTTGTTCTTACTGGGGATTCTGATGTCCAGCCTAAGGGTGCCATGCTGTAGCATGGGAACATGCTAGTAGTCTACGGCCTCCGGATTCCTCCCTCAGCTGGTCAAGCTTATTTGAGGTGCGCTGGTCCTTCCTCACTTTCCCTATTCTACCTGGGGAACTGCCGGTGGCGCCAGGCATGCACGGCTCCTGGCTTCTGGTCTATCTGGCTGCCTGCATGCCTCAAGTCTCTGCTCAAGGATGCAAGCTCAGCAGCAGTGGGGGCTTGACTTGGCTGCTCTCCAAGCCGAGCCCGCAGGGCTGTGGGCGGAGCCAAGAGCCGGAGTGTATATATATTTTGATTTGCCAGGAGTACTGGAGGCTGGCAAAGGGCCTTGATACCTCCTCGTGGAGAGGTGGTCTTGTGGAGACTTGCAAGAGCAAGAACAGGGAGGTCCTGGGAAGGCGTCCTTCCTGGTCTGGATGGCAGGAGTCAGCAGTGTGGGGAACAGTCCCGTGGCCCGGGAATCCCGGGCATCCCGGCGCAGAAAGATCATCTGGAATGGTATGCAGAAAGAGGCCCTCGTGAGAGCTTTCGCCAAGAGCCCTTACCCAAGCTTCAGGGCCAGGGAGCAACTGGCCAGGGAAATCGGCTTGCCAGAGTCGCGGGTCCGGGTGTGGTTTCAGAACCGCCGAAGTCGCACAGGGCTGGTGAGGCAAGGCCCGAAGCCCTCGACAGCCCTAAGTGTCGCAGAGCCCCTGCAGCCTCACGAAGAGTCCGGTGCCAGGCTGCAAGGTAGAAGAAGCAACCCGTCGGGACGCAGAAGGCTTCGCACTCGACTCAGCTCCACACAGTTGATCATCTTAAGACAAGCTTTTGAGAGGCAGCCCTACCCGGGCTTTGCTGTCAGGGAGGAGCTCGCCCAAAGGACCGGTTTGCCTGAAGACACCATCCACATATGGTTTCAGAACAGAAGAGCACGCCACCGAGCTGCTGGCAAGGCCAGAGTTCCAGGTCAAGACTCCCCTTCCTGCCCTCCTCGCAATGCACCACTGCCTGCCAGGGAGACTCAGCTTACCCAGGACAGCTTGTTGCCACGGTCTGCTGCACGAGATGACGGCACACGGGATTTGACTCTCACCTGCCCACCAACCTCCTCCGGAATCTCCTGGACAGCAGCGCCACAGCCCTCCTCTCCAGCAGACCGGCCAGAGGCACGTGAAGTTGCAAGGCTCTCTCCTGATCCCATGCTGGCAGGAAAACAAACTGACCAAGAGGCGAGGGACACTCTGGATCTCTTTGACCCGTGGGAGCAGATTCAGCCAAGCCTCGAGGGCCCTCTTGACGAAGAAGAATACCAGGCTCTCCTGGATCAGCTCTGAAGCACACACAACAAGGCTTCATTTTCTCATCGGGGACGGCGCTCTTGGCCAGACACGAAAGCCTTTACACGCAACCCCACACAAAGGACACCATGGACCTCCCAATCTCCTGGGCCGGGAGCCCATGGACAGGGAACACCTGGCTACAAACAACCCAACAATTCAACCTGGACTTAGAAGCTGGGAGGAGATGGCCTGCCCACGAGACCCAGAACTAGAAAATTTGCCTGGCAGGAGGCAATTGTCCCGGAGACTGCTGCGAAATTTTTCCAGGGGAAGTCAGGGACAGACCTCAACAAGGCAGCAGACTTAGGAAAACCCTGGACAGGCTCCTCAGACAAGATACTGCCTGAAGTGCATCCCAGCATGACTCTGAGGGCAACACCTCAGCTCTACACTCTGTGGGCCACGATGGAACACACCGGCCAAAGGAGCCTTTGTTCCCTGCTAACTTTGTCGGCCCTGGAGTTGTGAAGCAGGGAAGGAGGAAAATGCCACTAGAGGATGGCCACTGCCAGCAATAGATGGAGCACCTGAGGGATGGGGGAAGACTGGGGATGGAGAAAATAGCGCTCTGCTAGCTAGATTCAGTGCCCTGGACACACTTGATCCTATTCTGAATGTGAAGTCGAATAAATCTGAATGAACAAACACAAAGAGACATAACTTGAAAAATGGACTCAATCAATGTGTGTTCCATGTGAAATACTTTAATTTTCTTCCCTTCTCTATTACTAATTTTTCTTAAATCCTTTCCTTTTTTGTTTATTCTTTTATCTCTCTCTCTCTCTATTTTTTTTTTTTTTTTTAATTTTTGGTTTAGATTTTTGGTTTTGTTTTGTTTTTTTCTTTTGTTTTCCCTTTTTTTGTAGAGGTTGGATCTTCTTGATCATTCCTCTTTAAAAATATTTTTTTCACACACAAAACCCAAATACACTGCCTTTACTTTTGTCCAACATACACACACACACACACACACACACAGGATCAGTGACAATCATAAGCCTTCTGCCCCACCCCAAACACAAACACACACAGGTGAAAGCACTTGAGTACCAGCTGGAAAATCCTCTTGTTGATTTGACACTCTCAAGACCAATGAAATCTCTGCTTTCTCAGTGATTCTTTTGTTTGTCTGTGTGTTTGCTTGTTGTTAGCCTTTTGTGGCAGTTTTTTTTTTTTTTTTTTTTTTTTCTGTGTATCATATCTGCCCTGTCCTGGATGTCACTTTGTAGAAGAGGCCTGGCCAGGAACACTTGGAGCTCTGCGGCCTAGTCTTCTTCTGCAGACTGTGATTAAGTGTGCAGGAGACCACCACGAATCTCACGGCCATTCTTCTTGCATCTGGAAAATGAGCAATGGGTAACCACTCTCTCCCTGCCAGCCACCTGCTCGCCACCTTATATGGAGGTACCTCACTTGCACCACAAGAGGTGTTTTCTATCTCCCAACCCTGAAGTTGTTCTTACTGGGGATTCTGATGTCCAGCCTAAGGGTGCCATGCTGTAGCATGGGAACATGCTAGTAGTCTACGGCCTCCGGATTCCTCCCTCAGCTGGTCAAGCTTATTTGAGGTGCGCTGGTCCTTCCTCACTTTCCCTATTCTACCTGGGGAACTGCCGGTGGCGCCAGGCATGCACGGCTCCTGGCTTCTGGTCTATCTGGCTGCCTGCATGCCTCAAGTCTCTGCTCAAGGATGCAAGCTCAGCAGCAGTGGGGGCTTGACTTGGCTGCTCTCCAAGCCGAGCCCGCAGGGCTGTGGGCGGAGCCAAGAGCCGGAGTGTATATATATTTTGATTTGCCAGGAGTACTGGAGGCTGGCAAAGGGCCTTGATACCTCCTCGTGGAGAGGTGGTCTTGTGGAGACTTGCAAGAGCAAGAACAGGGAGGTCCTGGGAAGGCGTCCTTCCTGGTCTGGATGGCAGGAGTCAGCAGTGTGGGGAACAGTCCCGTGGCCCGGGAATCCCGGGCATCCCGGCGCAGAAAGATCATCTGGAATGGTATGCAGAAAGAGGCCCTCGTGAGAGCTTTCGCCAAGAGCCCTTACCCAAGCTTCAGGGCCAGGGAGCAACTGGCCAGGGAAATCGGCTTGCCAGAGTCGCGGGTCCGGGTGTGGTTTCAGAACCGCCGAAGTCGCACAGGGCTGGTGAGGCAAGGCCCGAAGCCCTCGACAGCCCTAAGTGTCGCAGAGCCCCTGCAGCCTCACGAAGAGTCCGGTGCCAGGCTGAAAGGTAGAAGAAGCAACCCGTCGGGACGCAGAAGGCTTCGCACTCGACTCAGCTCCACACAGTTGATCATCTTAAGACAAGCTTTTGAGAGGCAGCCCTACCCGGGCTTTGCTGTCAGGGAGGAGCTCGCCCAAAGGACCGGTTTGCCTGAAGACACCATCCACATATGGTTTCAGAACAGAAGAGCACGCCACCGAGCTGCTGGCAAGGCCAGAGTTCCAGGTCAAGACTCCCCTTCCTGCCCTCCCTCGCAATGCACCACTGCCTGCCAGGGAGACTCAGCTTACCCAGGACAGCTTGTTGCCACGGTCTGCTGCACGAGATGACGGCACACGGGATTTGACTCTCACCTGCCCACCAACCTCCTCCGGAATCTCCTGGACAGCAGCGCCACAGCCCTCCTCTCCAGCAGACCGGCCAGAGGCACGTGAAGTTGCAAGGCTCTCTCCTGATCCCATGCTGGCAGGAAAACAAACTGACCAAGAGGCGAGGGACACTCTGGATCTCTTTGACCCATGGGAGCAGATTCAGCCAAGCCTCGAGGGCCCTCTTGACGAAGAAGAATACCAGGCTCTCCTGGATCAGCTCTGAAGCACACACAACAAGGCTTCATTTTCTCATCGGGGACGGCGCTCTTGGCCAGACACGAAAGCCTTTACACGCAACCCCACACAAAGGACACCATGGACCTCCCAATCTCCTGGGCCGGGAGCCCATGGACAGGGAACACCTGGCTACAAACAACCCAACAATTCAACCTGGACTTAGAAGCTGGGAGGAGATGGCCTGCCCACGAGACCCAGAACTAGAAAATTTGCCTGGCAGGAGGCAATTGTCCCGGAGACTGCTGCGAAATTTTTCCAGGGGAAGTCAGGGACAGACCTCAACAAGGCAGCAGACTTAGGAAAACCCTGGACAGGCTCCTCAGACAAGATACTGCCTGAAGTGCATCCCAGCATGACTCTGAGGGCAACACCTCAGCTCTACACTCTGTGGGCCACGATGGAACACACCGGCCAAAGGAGCCTTTGTTCCCTGCTAACTTTGTCGGCCCTGGAGTTGTGAAGCAGGGAAGGAGGAAAATGCCACTAGAGGATGGCCACTGCCAGCAATAGATGGAGCACCTGAGGGATGGGGGAAGACTGGGGATGGAGAAAATAGCGCTCTGCTAGCTAGATTCAGTGCCCTGGACACACTTGATCCTATTCTGAATGTGAAGTCGAATAAATCTGAATGAACAAACACAAAGAGACATAACTTGAAAAATGGACTCAATCAATGTGTGTTCCATGTGAAATACTTTAATTTTCTTCCCTTCTCTATTACTAATTTTTCTTAAATCCTTTCCTTTTTTGTTTATTCTTTTATCTCTCTCTCTCTCTATTTTTTTTTTTAATTTTTGGTTTAGATTTTTGGTTTTGTTTTGTTTTTTTCTTTTGTTTTCCCTTTTTTTGTAGAGGTTGGATCTTCTTGATCATTCCTCTTTAAAAATATTTTTTTCACACACAAAACCCAAATACACTGCCTTTACTTTTGTCCAACATACACACACACACACACACACACACACACAGGATCAGTGACAATCATAAGAATTCTGCCCCACCCCAAACACAAACACACACAGGTGAAAGCACTTGAGTACCAGCTGGAAAATCCTCTTGTTGATTTGACACTCTCAAGACCAATGAAATCTCTGCTTTCTCAGTGATTCTTTTGTTTGTCTGTGTGTTTGCTTGTTGTTAGCCTTTTGTGGCAGTTTTTTTTTTTTTTTTTTTTTTTCTGTGTATCATATCTGCCCTGTCCTGGATGTCACTTTGTAGAAGAGGCCTGGCCAGGAACACTTGGAGCTCTGCGGCCTAGTCTTCTTCTGCAGACTGTGATTAAGTGTGCAGGAGACCACCACGAATCTCACGGCCATTCTTCTTGCATCTGGAAAATGAGCAATGGGTAACCACTCTCTCCCTGCCAGCCACCTGCTCGCCACCTTATATGGAGGTACCTCACTTGCACCACAAGAGGTGTTTTCTATCTCCCAACCCTGAAGTTGTTCTTACTGGGGATTCTGATGTCCAGCCTAAGGGTGCCATGCTGTAGCATGGGAACATGCTAGTAGTCTACGGCCTCCGGATTCCTCCCTCAGCTGGTCAAGCTTATTTGAGGTGCGCTGGTCCTTCCTCACTTTCCCTATTCTACCTGGGGAACTGCCGGTGGCGCCAGGCATGCACGGCTCCTGGCTTCTGGTCTATCTGGCTGCCTGCATGCCTCAAGTCTCTGCTCAAGGATGCAAGCTCAGCAGCAGTGGGGGGCTTGACTTGGCTGCTCTCCAAGCCGAGCCCGCAGGGCTGTGGGCGGAGCCAAGAGCCGGAGTGTATATATATTTTGATTTGCCAGGAGTACTGGAGGCTGGCAAAGGGCCTTGATACCTCCTCGTGGAGAGGTGGTCTTGTGGAGACTTGCAAGAGCAAGAACAGGGAGGTCCTGGGAAGGCGTCCTTCCTGGTCTGGATGGCAGGAGTCAGCAGTGTGGGGAACAGTCCCGTGGCCCGGGAATCCCGGGCATCCCGGCGCAGAAAGATCATCTGGAATGGTATGCAGAAAGAGGCCCTCGTGAGAGCTTTCGCCAAGAGCCCTTACCCAAGCTTCAGGGCCAGGGAGCAACTGGCCAGGGAAATCGGCTTGCCAGAGTCGCGGGTCCGGGTGTGGTTTCAGAACCGCCGAGTCGCACAGGGCTGGTGAGGCAAGGCCCGAAGCCCTCGACAGCCCTAAGTGTCGCAGAGCCCCTGCAGCCTCACGAAGAGTCCGGTGCCAGGCTGCAAGGTAGAAGAAGCAACCCGTCGGGACGCAGAAGGCTTCGCACTCGACTCAGCTCCACACAGTTGATCATCTTAAGACAAGCTTTTGAGAGGCAGCCCTACCCGGGCTTTGCTGTCAGGGAGGAGCTCGCCCAAAGGACCGGTTTGCCTGAAGACACCATCCACATATGGTTTCAGAACAGAAGAGCACGCCACCGAGCTGCTGGCAAGGCCAGAGTTCCAGGTCAAGACTCCCCTTCCTGCCCTCCTCGCAATGCACCACTGCCTGCCAGGGAGACTCAGCTTACCCAGGACAGCTTGTTGCCACGGTCTGCTGCACGAGATGACGGCACACGGGATTTGACTCTCACCTGCCCACCAACCTCCTCCGGAATCTCCTGGACAGCAGCGCCACAGCCCTCCTCTCCAGCAGACCGGCCAGAGGCACGTGAAGTTGCAAGGCTCTCTCCTGATCCCATGCTGGCAGGAAAACAAACTGACCAAGAGGCGAGGGACACTCTGGATCTCTTTGACCCATGGGAGCAGATTCAGCCAAGCCTCGAGGGCCCTCTTGACGAAGAAGAATACCAGGCTCTCCTGGATCAGCTCTGAAGCACACACAACAAGGCTTCATTTTCTCATCGGGGACGGCGCTCTTGGCCAGACACGAAAGCCTTTACACGCAACCCCACACAAAGGACACCATGGACCTCCCAATCTCCTGGGCCGGGAGCCCATGGACAGGGAACACCTGGCTACAAACAACCCAACAATTCAACCTGGACTTAGAAGCTGGGAGGAGATGGCCTGCCCACGAGACCCAGAACTAGAAAATTTGCCTGGCAGGAGGCAATTGTCCCGGAGACTGCTGCGAAATTTTTCCAGGGGAAGTCAGGGACAGACCTCAACAAGGCAGCAGACTTAGGAAAACCCTGGACAGGCTCCTCAGACAAGATACTGCCTGAAGTGCATCCCAGCATGACTCTGAGGGCAACACCTCAGCTCTACACTCTGTGGGCCACGATGGAACACACCGGCCAAAGGAGCCTTTGTTCTCTGCTAACTTTGTCGGCCCTGGAGTTGTGAAGCAGGGAAGGAGGAAAATGCCACTAGAGGATGGCCACTGCCAGCAATAGATGGAGCACCTGAGGGATGGGGGAAGACTGGGGATGGAGAAAATAGCGCTCTGCTAGCTAGATTCAGTGCCCTGGACACACTTGATCCTATTCTGAATGTGAAGTCGAATAAATCTGAATGAACAAACACAAAGAGACATAACTTGAAAAATGGACTCAATCAATGTGTGTTCCATGTGAAATACTTTAATTTTCTTCCCTTCTCTATTACTAATTTTTCTTAAATCCTTTCCTTGTTTGTTTATTCTTTTATCTCTCTCTCTCTCTCTATTTTTTTTTTTTTTTAATTTTTGGTTTAGATTTTTGGTTTTGTTTTGTTTTTTTCTTTTGTTTTCCCTTTTTTTGTAGAGGTTGGATCTTCTTGATCATTCCTCTTTAAAAATATTTTTTTCACACACAAAACCCAAATACACTGCCTTTACTTTTGTCCAACATACACACACACACACACACACACAGGATCAGTGACAATCATAAGCCTTCTGCCCCACCCCAAACACAAACACACACAGGTGAAAGCACTTGAGTACCAGCTGGAAAATCCTCTTGTTGATTTGACACTCTCAAGACCAATGAAATCTCTGCTTTCTCAGTGATTCTTTTGTTTGTCTGTGTGTTTGCTTGTTGTTAGCCTTTTGTGGCAGTTTTTTTTTTTTTTTTTTTTTTCTGTGTATCATATCTGCCCTGTCCTGGATGTCACTTTGTAGAAGAGGCCTGGCCAGGAACACTTGGAGCTCTGCGGCCTAGTCTTCTTCTGCAGACTGTGATTAAGTGTGCAGGAGACCACCACGAATCTCACGGCCATTCTTCTTGCATCTGGAAAATGAGCAATGGGTAACCACTCTCTCCCTGCCAGCCACCTGCTCGCCACCTTATATGGAGGTACCTCACTTGCACCACAAGAGGTGTTTTCTATCTCCCAACCCTGAAGTTGTTCTTACTGGGGATTCTGATGTCCAGCCTAAGGGTGCCATGCTGTAGCATGGGAACATGCTAGTAGTCTACGGCCTCCGGATTCCTCCCTCAGCTGGTCAAGCTTATTTGAGGTGCGCTGGTCCTTCCTCACTTTCCCTATTCTACCTGGGGAACTGCCGGTGGCGCCAGGCATGCACGGCTCCTGGCTTCTGGTCTATCTGGCTGCCTGCATGCCTCAAGTCTCTGCTCAAGGATGCAAGCTCAGCAGCAGTGGGGGGCTTGACTTGGCTGCTCTCCAAGCCGAGCCCGCAGGGCTGTGGGCGGAGCCAAGAGCCGGAGTGTATATATATTTTGATTTGCCAGGAGTACTGGAGGCTGGCAAAGGGCCTTGATACCTCCTCGTGGAGAGGTGGTCTTGTGGAGACTTGCAAGAGCAAGAACAGGGAGGTCCTGGGAAGGCGTCCTTCCTGGTCTGGATGGCAGGAGTCAGCAGTGTGGGGAACAGTCCCGTGGCCCGGGAATCCCGGGCATCCCGGCGCAGAAAGATCATCTGGAATGGTATGCAGAAAGAGGCCCTCGTGAGAGCTTTCGCCAAGAGCCCTTACCCAAGCTTCAGGGCCAGGGAGCAACTGGCCAGGGAAATCGGCTTGCCAGAGTCGAGGGTCCGGGTGTGGTTTCAGAACCGCCGAAGTCGCACAGGGCTGGTGAGGCAAGGCCCGAAGCCCTCGACAGCCCTAAGTGTCGCA